AAATAAATATTAATCCTCCCATGTAGACTATGGGAATTTTTTTTCGAGGGCTGCCACCTGGCCTAAATTCGAAAGCCACTCAAAAATCAGAGGCCTTCCAGAAGATTTCCAGCTTTTCACAATCACCCGTCTGCCTAGCATGATGCAGCTCTGTATCCACTCTGATTCAGCCTTTTTAACATGACTTAAAGGGCAAGGGTCACCAAGGATGTATAAGCTTGGACAGAGATCATACTAGGCCTGTGATATCTTTACAATAGGCACAGTTTTTCTAAGACTTTCAGAATTTGCAAGATGTGTTCTGAAATGCAAGCAAACTTACCCGAACCATTGACTGAAATTGAATAAGGAGTTATATTCAGGGGGTTGATATCTCCTGTTATCACTGCTGTAAAGAGGGTGTCTGAAATCTCTTGAACGGTTGGAACAGATTGTGTGGAGTTGAAAACTAGTTGTGTTTCTGTGATGATTGACCCTGGTCTGGAAAATATAGAAGAATTTCACATAATATTCCTTAATATGAGCATATTACCACTATATAATAAGTTTACTGCATTATCTTGTTTGTTTGTTTTTTAAACCCACAGTGCACATACATTCCATATTTACCTAAAACGCAAGACAATCACTTCGATAAAAGAAGGATATTTTGCTCTGTAGATTGGTCTAATCTGTAACATACAATAACAGGCAGTCACAACCATGATCAGAAATAACATTTGATTTATTAAATTACATATATTACTGTTGAGGATCTCTATACTTTATGAGGGGAAAAACAAAGGGTGCGTCTCAATCAGCTCCCTAGTTCAGTAGTCAGGGCACTGATCAGGGAGTCGGCCCTTTTAAGGGCTGTTTCAATCGCGAAATACATTCGCTCCCTGAAAAATCCCACAAAAACTAGGGAGCATTGGTGCTCACAATGCTCCCTTACCGAAATCACGTCACATTTCTGAAGCGCAAACATAAACCACACGAGCCAACCCATACAGTCTATGGAGCCAACTCGATAAATATAATGATATGCGATAGAAGATTGGAAAAAAAAAGAAAAAAAAAGTTTTATTGGTATATTTCAACATAAACACACATCGCTACACAGGTAATGATCACATCTTGTTAACATTTATAATTAATATTTGGTTGAAATGTTGTAAGAACATGTAAAAGAAGAATGTGTTTAAAGAGAATAAAAAATAATATCAAAAAGATTGGGAGGCTTGTTGGGAGGTTGTTGATTAATTACATCGGTGGCGTTCTACAATGTTGTCCGTTGACGTTGTACGTAGTCATGTCACCAGAAATTTAGTAATCACTGTCCCAATGTACAGTGAGCCAGGGTACTTACCAGTGACCGAATTCGTGTACACGATATACTGATTCACGAGATAGGGAGCTGATTGAGATGCACACAAAGTGTCATTAATTAAAGGTAAACTAAATAATTTAAATAATAACAATACCCAAACAAACTCCTGTATATGTTTGGCTTTGGTTTAAATGTCTGCTGTCTGTTCTCTTAATTTACAGGCAAGATATTTTCTGTGTGTCACCTGTGAATCTTGTAAGTTTATTTTAACTCACCTGAGATCTGACAAGCTCAGCTCTTGACTTGAAGGCCTGCGAGTTTGAATCATTGAGTTCAACTATAAATGTGTCAAAAGAGCGGAACACCAGATCTGTTAGATACACAGGTACAAATTTTGTAGTTGTAGTCGTAGGCACTATAAATGTAGATGTCAAGGGTCTTGTTGTTGTTGCATTAGTGGTTGAGAGAGTGGTTATATTAGTGGTAGAGGCAAATGAATTTGTTGATGTTCCAGCTGTGTTACCAGTCGTAGTGTTAAAGGTAGTTGAATAGGGAGTTGCTGAAGTAAAAACAGAAGTTTCTGTTTTAAGTGCAGAGAATCCTTTTGTTGTTGCGGATGTTTCAATGGTACTAACAGTTGTGCTCTCAGAGACATTTGATGATGGAGAGAATGAAATAAACGTTGGTGGTGATGTCATGGTAACTGCTCCACTAGTAGCAGGACCTGGTATGGATGTTGTACTTCCGAAGGCTGTTGAAGAGTCAGTGACTGAGGCATAAGTAGATGTTTGTGTTTGTGGCACTGTTGTGATAAATATTCCACTGGTGGTGGATGTTCCAGCAGCAGTTGTTGTGGTAGTTGAGGGCCCTGTTGTTGTAGCTGTTTGTGGATGTGTTGTTGTAGCTGTTGGTGTTGTGGATGTTGTGGCTGTACTGATAGTGGTGCTTTCAATAGTGGTTGAAGAAGCACTCACAACAGGAACTGCAGTAGTTGTCGTCTGTGGCGCTGTTGTGGAAACTCCTGCAGTAGTGATTACAGCAGCAGTTGAGGTCACTGTTGAAGGATGTGTTGTTGTAGCTGTTGGTGTTGTGGATGTTGTGACTGTACTGACAGTGGTGCTTTCAATAGTGGTTGAAGAAGCACTCACAACAGGTCCTGCAGTAGTTGTTGCCTGTGGTGCTGATGTGGAAACGCCTGCAGTAGTAGTTCCAGCAGCAGTTGATGTCACTGTTGAAGGATGTGTTGTGGATGTTGTGGCTGTACTGGTAGTGGTGCTTTCAATAGTGATTAATGGGGGAATCACAGAAGTTACTGCAGTAGATGTTGTCTGTGGCGCTGTTGTGGAAACTCCTGCAGTAGTAGTTCCAGCAGCAATTGATGTCACTGTTGAAGGATGTGTTGTTGTAGCTGTTGGTGTTGTGGATGTTGTTTGATGTCACTGTTGAAGGATGTGTTGTTGTAGCTGTTGATGTTGTGACTGTACTGACAGTGGTGCTTTCAATAGTGGTTGAAGAAGCACTCACAACAGGTACTGCAGTAGTTGTTGTCTGTGGTGCTGTTGTGGAAACTCCTGCAGTAGTATTTTCTGTTGTAGATTTTTCTGCTGCACTAGTGGTGGATGTTTCAGAAGGAGTTTTTGTGATTGTGGAGGGCTCTGTTGTTATAGATGTTTCTGCTGCACTAGTGGTGGATATTTCAGCAGGAGTCATGATTGTGGAAGTCTCTGCTGTTTTTGATGTTTCTGCTGCACTAGAAGTGGATGTTTTAGCTGGAGTTGTTGTGATAGTGGAAACTTCGGTTGTTGTAATTGTTTCTGCTGCACTAATGGTAGATATTTCAGCAGGAGTCGTGATTGTGGAAGGTTGGAGCTGTTGGTGTTCTGGATGTTGTGACTGCACTGACAGTGGTGCTTTCAATAGTGGTTGAAGAAGGACTCACAACAGGTACTGCAGTAGTTGTTGCCTGTGGTGCTGTTGTGGAAACTCCTGCAGTACTAGTTCCAGCAGCAGTTGATGTCACTGTTGAATGATGTGTTGTTGGAGCTGTTGGTGTTGTGGATGTTGTGACTGTACTGACAGTAGTGCTTTCAATAGTGGTTGAAGAAGCACTCACAACCGGTACTGCAGTAGTTGTTGTTTGTGGTGCTGTTGTGGAAACTCCTGCAGTAGTAGTTCCAGCAGCAGTTGATGTCACTGTTGAAGGATGTGTTGTTGTAGCTGTTGGTGTTGTGACTGTACTGTGGTTGTGGAAACTTCTCTTGTTGTAATTGTTTCTGCTGCAATAGTGGTGGATATTTCAGCATGAGTCGTGATTGTGGAAGTCTCTGTTGTTGTAGATGTTTCTGTTGCACTAATGGTGGATGTTTCAGGAAGAGTCGTGATTGTGGAAGTTTCTGTTGTCGTTGTTACTGCTGCACTAGTGGTGTTGTTGTGGTTGTGGAATCTTCTCTTGTTGTAATTGTTTCTGCTGCATTAGTGATGGATATTTCAGCATGAGTCGTGATTGTGGAAGTCTCTGTTGTTGTAGATGTTTCTGCTGCACTAGTGGTGGATGTTTCAGCAGGAGTCGTGATTGTGGAAGTCTCTGTTGTTGTAGATGTTTCTGCTGCACTAGTGGTGGATGTTTCAGCAGGAGTCGTGATTGTGGAAGTCTCTGTTGTTGTAGATGTTTCTGCTGCACTAGTGGTGGATGTTTCAGCAGGAGTCGTGATTGTGGAAGTCTCTGTTGTTGTAGATGTTTCTGCTGCACTAGTGGTGGATGTTTCAGCAGGAGTCGTGATTGTGGAAGTCTCTGTTGTTGTAGATGTTTCTGCTGCACTAGTGGTGGATGTTTCAGCAGGAGTCGTGATTGTGGAAGTCTCTGTTGTTGTAGATGTTTCTGCTGCACTAGTGGTGGATGTTTCAGCAGGAGTCGTGATTGTGGAAGTCTCTGTTGTTGTAGATGTTTCTGCTGCACTAGTGGTGGATGTTTCAGCAGGAGGTGTTGTGGTTGTGGAAACTTCTGTTGTTATAATTGTTTCTGCTGCACTAATGGTGGATATTTCAGCAGGAGTCG